TTTCCTGCTCCTCTGATGCTGCTTGGCCTGCTGTGTTCATCCAGCTCTACACCTTGTTATCTCAGATCCTCCAGCATCGGCAGTTCCTACTATCTCTGAAACAATTATAATGTGCATTTTCCTACTTTACAGTTGCGACTACTTTGTTGCTAGGATTGACAAGTAGAAAATACTTGCTGTTTATTTCTAATTTTACATTGAAGAACCTTCTTCCTAAAAGAAGTATTACATTCCTTCCAGAGATAGTAGGAACTGCAGATGCTGCAGACCTGGTTTGCCAACAGCCAGGCACTTTGAAGCTCAGCTGGAGGATTCACCATGTCAGCAAGTAGTTTAAGTGAACTTAGTAATTGTTATGAACTTAGTAATTGTTACATGTGTAGCAGGCAAATGATTTCCATAATCTGTATTTCTTACTTCAGCAGGACCACCATGGACCCTTTGTCCTGAAAAACGGCCTCATAAAGTTATTAAACAGTCAAAATGTTAGACATGAGCATATAACCCACAGTAAGCTGTACATCTCACTTGTGTCATCAAGAATAACCAGCAAAAACTCTGAACTTCTCCCCAACCACTGATGTCCCAAAGCAATTTAGAGATAGTGAAGTATTCTTAAAATGTAGTCTCATGTGGGAAACATGGCAGCTAATTTACAGCATTGTAACGATGACCACATAGTCTGTTTCTGTGACGTTGAGTGAGTAGTAACTATTGATCAGGATACAGAGATAGCTCCCTTCGTCGTCTTCAAAATAGTTTTCTGGGATTTTTTGCATCCACCCGAGAGCACAGACATGGCTTTTTTTAATGTGTCATCAGTAAGATTGCATCCCTGACTAGTCAGGACTCCCTCAGTACTTAGATCCATACCCAGGTTTTTTAAAAACGTTATTTTAGTTGTCCAGTGGTTTCCTTTGTAGTATTACAACAAAATATAAAGTACTTGGGGGAACTTGGTGGCACAGTAAGTAAACACGTTTTTCTGTGAGTTGTGTTAAAATGTATGCCAGTGCCACAAGACTGAAGCAATTGCCTGTAAGGGAACGCAATCTTAATCCTCAGCCATGAATTTGCCCACAATGTGCAAGCATGCTGATCAAAAGCACATGGACAACTTGTGCAGGAAACAAAATCATGCTCATTTAATAGGGGACCTCATCCAAAGAAGGGTCCCAATGTATACTCATGAATGCATAATCAACTTAAACCAGCCACGTAAAGAGAGTATCAGCTGAGATTTTTGTGTTCAAGTTCTGAAGTGGAATTTGTACCTTTTAACTCAGAATATCAGCGGAACTATGGCTGACACACGAAGAGAGTCCTAATCCTGACCACTCCTAGTCATTATAAAACACTTCTTATCAAGAAATTAAATCTAAAATTGGGAAAATCCTTGTCGAATTTCTTCTATTGCAAAAGTGACTGCACTGCAGAGGTTCTTCATTGACTGAGTTTTTTTTCCCTGATTCTTTCTGAGAATTGTTTCTTTAGATGGCACAATAGACTGAGCACATTACTGTGGGAACTGAATTAGCATTTATTAAATAAAGCCATGGTTCTTTATTTAACTGCCTCAGATATCTGGGGTCGGTGCTTGATCTTTGCTATTCTGTTGGCTAGTGCTGTCAACATAGGTGCAAGTTGAAACATGCCCGAAGCCAAAACTGTTAAAAGTCATTCTTTGTGTATTCTTTGATAAGCAAGGAGGTCTCATAGTATTAATTGACACACTTGACTCTGATATAATATGTCTTTCAGATGAGTATTTATTTTGTATATAGTTTTGTTTTTGCCTTGACTGTTTTGATATTTTAATTAGGGGGCACGAATTGGCCGCATAGATGCTTTTGTGCAGAGCTCGGACAAAAACTTCCTGGTTCCAGTAGGTGGTGCTATAGTAGCGGGTTTTGATGATGTTTTCATAAATGAAATCAGCAAAATGTACCCAGGTAATTCATTATCAGATACTCTTGAGTTAACAAAGCGTGTTTCAGATATAATAATCCGATTTGCTGTAAATTTAATATTTGTTTTTGATTACTGTCGGAGAAAACCTCGGTGTAAAATTGTGAGTTGACCTTCATTGTCCGTGTTAGATGCAGGGCTTAGTGTAAGCTAAGGAAGGAATATCATTTACATCCAGATCAAGTTCTTAAGCTGTTCTCAAAGTGTCATTTTGTTTGCGTCAAAATGTATGAAGCAGCAATTAATTCAAAACTTTTAATGATTTTTAAAATTGGACATCAAAGATTTAAACAAAAACAGAAGTTGTTGGAAAAGCTCAGCAGGGCTGGCAGCATCTGTGAAGAAAAATAATCAGAGGTAATGTTTCAGGTCCAGTGACCCTTCCTTGGAAGTTCTGAGGACCCGAAACGTTAACTCTCATTTTTTCTTCACAGGTGCTGCCAGACCTGCTGAGCTTTTCCTGCAACTTCTGTTTTTGTTCCTGATTTACAGCATCTGCAGTTCTTTCGGTTTCTATCAAAGATTTAAATGTTATTTTAATGCTTTCTCAGGTATATATTTGATAGTTTTGTTCCAATGATAAGCCATAAAATATTAGACGGTTAGAAATCCCAATTCATATTTTCTCTCCCTTTTTGAAAAAAAAGACATTCGGTTGCTTTAATGAAACTTGATCGATGCCAGGACATTTGTTTAAAAAGGACTGTCATAAATATCCTGATTTGAAATTTCTCCTGATCTCTTGCTGTCACTTTGATGAACAACCAATAGGAACCATTTTAAAAATTTTTTTCATGGAATGAGGGTGTCACTGCTAGGCTGGCATTCATTGACCATCCCTTGAGAAGATGCTGATGAGCTTCTTGAAGCACGGCAGCCCATGCAGTGTAGGAACTCCAGCCCTGTTAGAAAGGAAGTTCAGGATTTTGACCCAGCCAAGGGAGAGGAACAGCAATATATTTCCACACAGGATGTGGAGGTGCCGGTGTTAGACCGGGCTGGACAAGGTCAGAAATCACACGACACTAGGTTATAGTCCGACAGGTTTATTTGAAAACACAAGCTTTTGGAGTCTTACTCCTTCGGGTGTTTGTGAGAGAGGTAGTATCAGACACAGAATTTATAAGTAAAAGATCATGGGGACTCACCGCTGATGGGGATGTACTAAACAAACCTAAGATGCTATTAAATCTTTAATCAGTTAAATCTTTTGAGGTTGGTTGGCTCACCAAGCTGGTTTGTTGTTCCGCAGACGTTTCGTTACCGTGCTTGGTAACATCCTCAGTGCAGCCTCTGATGAAGCGTCGGTGTGTTTTCCCGCCTGACTTTTAAACTCTGGGGTCCGTTGCGAAGGATTGCCTCACTTCCGGGTTTCCTCCGTAGTGGAATGTATATGGGGTCGAGTTGAATGTGTTTATTAATAGCGTGCTTCGTGGAGTGCCATGCTTCCAGGAACTCTCGTGCTTGTCTCTGCCTAGCCTGTTCCAGGATCTTGGTGTTGTCCCAGTCGAAGTCGTGGTTCTGCTTGTCCATGTGGATTGAGATGAGTGAGTATTGGTCGTGTCTTTTTGTAGCCAGTTGGTGTTCATGTACTCTTGTTGTTAGTTTCCTTCCTGTTTGTCCGATGTACACTGCAATACTCACTCATTTCAAAACACATGGACAAGCAGAACCACGACTTCGACTGGGACAACACCAAGATCCTGGAACAGGCTAGGCAGAGACAAGCACGAGAGTTCCTGGAAGCATGGCACTCCACGAAGCACGCTATTAATAAACACATTCAACTCGACCCCATATACATTCCACTACGGAGGAAACCCGGAAGTGAGGCAATCCTTCGCAACGGGCCCCAGAGTTTAAAAGCCAGGTGGGAAAACACACCGACGCTTCATCAGAGGCTGCACTGAGGATGTTACCAAGCACGGTAACGAAACGTCTGCGGAACAACAAACCAGCTCGGCGAGCCAACCAACCTCAACACCCACAACCCGAGCTACAAATCTACTCCAAAACCTTACAGTTAAATCTTTAATCAGTTCTTTTGAAGTCATGGTCTTGAGAGAACTGAAGGTTTTTTCAGTGGAAAGAAGAGGTGACATTTTAGGTCAGACAATGCATGTTAGGTGTGAGGCCTTGTTTAGAATCAGTTTGTGTTTTGGTTTGGAGTCAGACTGGTTTTATTTCTAAAGTAGGAATTTATAAAACACCACATTGACTGACTGTCTATAAATTGTGTGCATTTTGAACAAAATAGAATGTATCTGCAAATACAGATTCACCCCATTGATTCTCGTGTGTGTGTGTGTGTGTGTGTAGCCTGGTAACCCTGTTGCCACCTCCAACCCCATCTCCCCACTACCCACCTCCTCTACACTCCCTTTATCTTGCCCAAATGTTTACCCCTCATGCAAGGGTAGCGTGTGATTGAATGAAGTTGTTTGACTGTGAGGGTATCATGGTCATGTTCCATCTTGTCACTATTTAGCAGTATCCATTGCACAATGACCATAACTGGGATGTGCAGCTCTTTAATCTCCAGTGGAGGGATGTTGTAGCCACTTAGAGCATCACAGTTTGCAGCCCTGAATTGAGTTAGCTAACACTTCCCAGTGCAGGAATTGAAATTGGAATCTTACTAGTATGTGTGGCTTGGAGTCATGACTGAAATGTTGAGGAGTAGCGCAGTGGCTCAGTGGTTAGCACTGCTGCCAGGGTCCTAGGTTCAAATTTATCTGATTGGCAGAATGTGACAAGTGGAGTCCCAGATGGGTCTATCCTGAGTACTCAATGTTTAGGGGCGGCACGGTGGCTCAGTGGTAAGCATTGCTGCCTCACAGTGCCAAGGACCCATGTTTGATTCCACCCTCGGGCGACTGTCTGTGTGGAGTTTGCACATTCTCCCCGCATCTGCGTGGGTTTCCCCCAGGTGCCCCGGTTTCCTCCCACAGTCCAAAGACGTGCATGTTAAGTGGATTGGCCATGTTAAATTGACCATAGTGTTCAGGGAGGTGTAGATTAGGTGGGTTAAAGGGGGATGGGTCTGGGTGGGATGCTCTGAGGGTCGGTGTGGACTTGTTGGGCTGAAAGGCCTGTTGCCATACTGTAGGGATTCTATGGATCTCTACTTTCACTCATATCATTTAGAAATAGTTAAGAATTGAAATTGTTTCCCATTGATATTTGTAGGACGAGCATCGGCATCACCCTCAACTGATGTTCTCATTACGCTGCTATCACTTGGCGTGAATGGATATAAGCATCTCTTAAAAGAAAGAAAGGTGAGTTTGTTGTTCCAGCCTGAAGCCTGTACATATACTGCACCCATGTATATTTTTCATGCTTATTTCAGTGGTCTACAAATAGCTGTTATGTTGTGAATTCAATTGTGTTGCTTTTTTTTGAGTGAAGAAGTTCCTTCTCAGCTCAGTTTTAAATGATTGACTATACCCTGAGATTGAGTTGCTGTTTTATAGACCACCAGCTAAGGAGATAAATTCTTCAACATCTGTCCTGTTGAGCCCTATCTGCCTCTCAAAACTCTGTCTCCTCCTTTAATTAGCTCCTTAAAATATACCTATTTACCACACTTTTGTCATTCTTCTTAACATCATGTTCTTTAATTTTGGTAATTTCTTTCAGAAGAAGGGTCCCGACCCGAAACATCAACTTTCCTACTCCTCTGATGCTGCCTAGCCTGCTGTATTCCTCCAGCTCTGCACTGTGCTTTCTCTGAATCCAGCATCGGCAGTTCTTACCATCTCTTTAGTTTTGGTGTTCAGTTTTGTCTGATTGCACCTCTGAGATGCCCTTGCAATGTCTTTTGTGTTTAGGGTGGCATATTTCAACATTAAATAGTGACGACTATTCAAAAGTACCTGATTGGATGTAAAATGCTTTGGAATGTCTCAAGGTTGTGAAAGGTGCTGTATGAATTCCAGCCTTTCTTCCCTTCCTTTCATTTATAATTGAAAGCTGTTGCCGTACAATTTGAATTGCCCCACCACCTATGATTCCTGAGGGTTAGTTAGCCCAGTCTTCAGTTGGAGTCCCAGTCCTTCTGCAGAATTTCTTTGGGTGACTTCAGTTGAAGATTCCGTTGGATGTAGGAACAGTGAAATTATGAAATCGTTAAACTTGTTAACACAGTAATGTGGAAGCAGCAGCTACTTCAGCTGCAAATCCAGTGAGGGAACCCAGTTTACAGAGCAGGTTTGAAACCTTGTGTAATGGTTTTGCATCTGTTCGCTGGTTAATGTTTGGAACTGTTTTCCACAAACAGCAGTGGATACAGATCAGTTCTTAATTTTAAACCTGAAATGAATATATTTTTGTTAAGCGAGGGTATTAAGAGATATGAGCCAAAGGCAGCTATATGGAGTTAGGCCACAGATCAACCATGATCTCATTGAATGGCAGAACAGGCTCAAAGGGCTGAATGGCCTACTCCTATGTTCCTACATTCACCAAGCACAACCAAGAGAAATTTCAGGGCTTTTGTCTTCATCAAAGTGATGAATGTATTTCTTTAGGAATACGAACATCTTGTGTTGACACAATACATGGATTTTGCAACAATTGGAGATCTTCAAAAAGGAGATGGTTTGGCTACAGAGTCAATACGTTGTTGTGAGGGGAAAGTAGGGCAACCAAAGCCACAGTTAACTGAAACACTGAACACATAGAGTTTAAAATGAGGGAGGAAAATGAGGCTTATGACAAATGTAGGATTCATACTAGAATGGAGAACCCAACTAAAAAAGAAAATATATTTATTTTCTAACATCTTTGAGGGAAAGAAACTGTTATCCTTAGATAACATAGTGTGGAGCTGGAGGAGCACAGTGTGGAGCTGAAGGAACACAGTAGGCCAGGCAGCATCAGAGGAGCAGGAAAGCTGATGTTTTGGGTCGGGACCCTTCTTCTGAAGAAGGGTTCCGACCCGAAACGTCAGCTTTACTGCTCCTGTAATGCTGCCTAGCCTGCTGTGTTCCTCCAGCTCCACACTGTGTTATCTCAGACACCAGCATCGGCAGTTCTTACTATCTCTAACTGTCATCCTTACTTGGTCTGGCCTACATGTGACTCCAGACTCATAGCAATGTGGTTGACTCTTAACTGCCCTCTGGGCAATTAAGGATGGGTGATAAATGCTGGCCTAACCGTGCATGAATTTTAAAAAAATGGCTGGAGGTCAATGCCTGGTCAGGAAGCTTACTGAATTCGCAATCCGTGTGGGAACAAGAATACATCCAGCAAAAATACAAAGATGCCAACATTATCCATCTGTACAAGGAAATTAACTTGTCAGAATTGTGACAATCATAAGGAATTTCATTCCTCTCCATTGCTGGCAAAATTTCTGCCAGAGACCTTCAGAACTGCTTAGTGGAATGCCTCAAGTAGGACTTGATGCCAAAGAGTCTGTACAAATTAAGAAAAGGTAAAGAAGTCGCTGCTGTTAAATAGCTTCGAGGGAAATGCCAAGAACAGAACATGGACCTCAACACCATATTTATTGACCAGGCCATGGCCTTTGACACAGTCCACTGGAAGGTGATGGTGAAATTCTGCTGCCCTAAGCAATTTATCCCCAGGGTTGGCAGTACCCATGGTGGTCTGCTCATGTGCTTCCTAGAGTCTTCTAACTCAATCCTAGTCACTAATGGAGTTAAGCAGGATTGCGTGCTAGCACCAGTGCTTGTCAGTATTTTGTTCTCTTTGGAGATATTCTTATGAAAGAAGGAAGCATGGCTAAGATACTCCCTGAGTACTTTGCATCCGTCTTCACTAAAGAAGAGGCTGCTACCATGTAGTATGAAAGCGGGACCAAATCGCGATATTGGATATGATGAAAATAGATCAAGAGGAGCTACTTAATAGGTTAGCAGTTCTCAAAACAAGAAAAGTTACCTGCTGGATGGCATGTATCCTTAAGTAATAAAGGTGACCAAAGAGCCTCTGGCACGATTATCCAGTCCTCCATAGGTAGGACGTTGGTCCAGAACATTTTAAATGTTACTGTGGATTGTAAATATTGAGCCATTATTTAATAAAGAGCTTGGAATAAACCAAGCAGCTAAGGCTGGTCAGTCTAATGGCCATGTTGAGAAAACTTTGAGAAAGTAATTGGAGATAAAAGTAATTGACATTTGAAAAATTGTGTGCTATCACGTGACAACCAGCACAGATGTGTTTGACTAAATAGATTGAGTGCTTTGACCAAGTAATCGAGAGGGTTGATGAGATTAGTGATTGTTGATGTGATGTGTTGTGAGAGAGAGAGCCACATAATAATCTTTTCAGCAATATTCAAGTCCTTGGGTTTAAAGGGATAGAGGCAGCAGTACTGGAAAATTAGCTCTGGGACAGAAAATGGAGAAGTAGTGGTGAGCAGTTATTTTTCAGATTGGTGGAAGGTATAACTAGTATTTGTCAATGGTCAAGTGGTCAAAAGGACTACTTTTTTCGATATGTATTAATGACTGGACTTGGGTTTATGGGACGTAATGTCAAACATGGTGGCTCAGTGGTTAGCACTGCTGCCTCACAGCACCAGGGACCCGGGTTCGATTCCAGCCTCAGGTGACTGTCTGTGTGGAGTTTGCACATTCTCCCCGTGTCTGCGTGGGTTTCCTCCAGGTGCTCCGGTTTCCTCCCACAGTCCAAAGATGTGCAGGCTAGGTGCGTTGGCCATGCTAAATTGCCCATTGGGATGTGTAGATTAGGTGGGTTATAGGGGGATGAGTCTGGGTGGGATGCTCTGAGGGTTGGTGTGGACTTGTTGGGCCGAAGTGCCTGTTTCTGCACTGTGTAGGGATTCTATAAAAAAAAATTTGCAGATGATACAGGACTCAAAAGTGTAATGAATAATGCGATAGTAATAGACTTCAGAAGGAAATGGTGAAATAGGCAAACTCATGGTCTGTGGAATTCAATGAAGAGAAAAGTTTAAGGGATACATCTTGTTAGGAAGAATGAAGTGAGGCAGTTGAAATTAATTTCTAATGGTGGTATAGGAACAGCGAGACATGAAGTGTATGTACATAAATATTTTAAGGTGTCAGAATAAGTTGAGAAGACTTAAAGCATAAGAGATCCTTGGCTTTGTAGACAGAAGCATGGAGTACAAAAGAAAGGAAGTCAGGCTAAAAAATGGTTAAACTTGAGGTAGAATAAAGTATTGTGTTTAAATCTGGGCACTGCTATTTGCGTATGAGGTCCAAGCCTTTGAGCGAGGAAGTGATTTATTCCAACTGTACTCCAGACAAAGGCCTTCAGTTATATGGAAAGACTGGCGAAGCGGAAGTTATTTTCCCTAGACTAGAGAAAGTTATGAGGAGATTTGAAAAATGCTTTCAAATTCTTGAATGGTTTTGATAGAGTGAATAGTAAGAATTGTCACCAGTGGCAGGATGGTCAGTAACCGTAGAATACAGATTTAATGTGATTGGCAAAAAAAGCAAAAGCAATGTGAGGAAATATGTTTTCATACAACATGGTGTTGTGATTCAGAATTCATTGCCTGAAAGGGCAATGGAGCAGATTTAGACAGTAGCATTCAGAAAAAACGTGGACAAATAGACAAAGGGGAAAAAAAACAAGGCAATGGGGAAGACTAGCAATTAGTTGAATAGCTCAATGGCCATTTTTGTGCTGTATCTTTCAATAATTCTCCAGACTCCAGTGACATATATTTCCTGGTATTGTCATAATGGTGTTTCAGTATTTAAACAGCTGTTGTGCATAATTAATGTCACTTTACTGATGGTGTTCCATTTCTTTGGTCCATTTAGAACTGTTGAACATGACCAGATCAGTTTCTCCTCATTTATAACTTTTTAAAGCTTAAAGATGAACAGTTTCACATATTAGCTTATAAGACAACAGTCTGAGTTGAGACTCACATCGTTGTGCATGGTGATTTTTTTTGCCATGATATGTAGACCTCAATACACCATGGCTATGATCTGCTGGTTGGTTTGCATATGTGTGTTAAATATGAAGTGTGAGCAAATGAAAAATATTCCAATATGAACAACTGTGATGCTTGGATGTTTATTCAAGAAACAAAAATTGTTGTGGATTTCCCATTCGTTTATTTGTTTTCCGGTGGTAAATTGAGAGAATCTGCATGCGGAGCAATAGTTCACTATGAATAGCTTAAAAACAATTTTAGTGCAATTTGTCAACAAAATTTTAAATTATTAAACCAACTACAGCAACAAATGCGAAATGTTAAGAACAAGATAATTATCAATGTGAATTTCACTAATTGGTA